ATACATTTCAGTTTTGTATCGTCTCGTATCACCATTTTTTATGATTGTAAATTCTTTTCGGAAATGTTTCTTCAGGCGCGCATACAGTTCACTTCGATTACCACTGAAAAATACCGTTCGTTATTGTTGTCCCATAAATAAATGCTTCCAGTCTAGTGCCTTATTAATTCGGGAGAATTTTGATCGGACAACAGCTAATGCACATACAGACTCGCTTATCTGAGTATCTGAATTAGCAACCACTGCTTTCCCACAACTGACAATATTCGACTGTGTCCCTTTCATCGGCTGGCCTACAGCGCCAAACAAAAACATCCATAGTTTACATTTTTCAAAAATTTCCAAAACATTTTGCATTATAAATGCAGATGCATCGCGTAAAATGTCTTCTTACACATGACATTCAAATCCAATCCCTCTATTCTACTATTATTTATATGGCTGTTTTGGCCAAAAAGTAGATCATTTGGTGGCTAATCTGCTGGAAACCTCGTCACAGTTCCACCACATTTTACCGTTCTTCGTTTTTCCATTAAAAAAAAAACGAAAGGCAACCATCTGACAGTTTTTTAAAAAAAATACCCCAGAAGTGGTACAAAAGTCTCCAGGAAGCAGGGCTTCTGATGAAAAAACACCAACAGACATGCCAGGAAGCAAAAAACGGCTATGTTCTATTTATATGACGGAGCCTCCCAAACCACATATCGCCAGCTTATGGTAGAATTTTCAGGCATAGTTTCATTCCTACGGACTTAAAATCGATAACCAAAATGTCATGTCAGACAAATTTTTTATTTGCCGCTAGTCAATCCGTGCTACATGAACTTCTTTCTTAGGATTTTTTTGAATTTACCCCCTTTTTCTTTCAAAATTACGATTTTACCCCTTTTTTTCTTTTAAAATTATAACCCATTTCCTCAAAAAAATTTATTTCATCTTATTTATTTTAGCTCAACACCACAACCGTCGTACTGACGAGGTCCAGTTGTTGTAGCAGCACTGAATAGGAATGTATACGACTTCATGGATCGGAATATTCCTCTTTAACTAATTTTTTAATATAATTTTAAACTTTTTTAATATAAATTATAATTATCTATATAAACAACTAGCTGTAGATCACTTG